TGACCTGAGCCGAAGTCGGACGCTTAACCGACTGACCCCCCCAGGCGCCCCTCATGTATTTTTTGGGGGGGGTATCCTTTCTGTCAGTACTTTTTAGAAGGGGAAGCACCTGAATGTTTGTGTCCGACAAAGCAGTTAAAATCCCCCCAGATCTCTCAGGACCTCACACGTCTCATCCTTAAAATGGGTGGGGAAATGCCAGCTCGTGAGGTTGCGAGAACCCCAATACGGGGCTCCGGCATATTATTACCATGTCACAAGTTACACCAAAGTGTTCATATAGTGCGTAAAGTAAAAGTGATTAGGTTCTGAGCCAGGGCCTACCTGATTAGTCATAACAAGAAGAGCAAATGTCCCCTAAAGGTGACGAATGCCATGCACCAAATACAGCACGTGGATTACCTCGCTCCATCCTCAAAGTATGGATCTGTAACCCAGCTGAGTTACAGATTAGAGAGAACCACCTGAAAGCTGGTCAAAAACAGCCCATATTCGACCAGTTTTGATTTGCAAAAAATGTGATAATTTTATGCGGCTCACCCCAATCTTGTCATTACCCCCGTTTTCCGGAGGAGGACGTTGCGGGGGGGTGTAACCTAAAGAGAGCTGACGACCTTCCTGAGTCTTTGGCCCACGCTGGTAAATGTGTTTTGATGGAAAGATCCAGAAAAGAGTTTCGGCATTACCACCGCACCCCATCCCCCTGCTTTTTTTTTTTTTCCATCTAGCTTTTTTTTCCTCCCAAACCCAAAACTGGGCCATGCAGCCTGACAGGCCTTCCGGGCTGCCCCTGGGTGTGAGGAATGGCCAACATGTTAGACTTTCTGGGACACGCCAGTGGTTCTGGAGGATAAAGGGATGGAGGGTTACGAAACCAGGAATGACCTGGAAAACCGGAGCCGTGGGGCGGGCGGAGCTGGCGAGAAGGCGGAACATCAGGGAAGGCAGCGAGATGGGGGGAGGGGGGCTCCGGGGACTTATATCTGCGGTCCTCCCTAGCTGTGTGACCCTGGGCAAGTGTCTTCCTGTCTCTGGGCCTCCATTTACTGATTGGGGTACTGACGCCTCTCTGCAAGGCTATTATTGGCAGGCTTGGCCAGGTATACAGGAGGGGCTTGGACCAGAGCTTGGTACACAGTAGGTGCTCAATCCACAAAACATTTTTTTAAATGATTATTTACTTTTGAGAGAGAGAGAGAGAGCGCATGCAGGGGAGGGACAGAGAGAGGGAGGGACACAGAAGTTCCAAAGCGGACTCTGAGCTGTCAGCGCAGAGCCCGGCGCGGGGTTCAAACCCATGAACTGTGACGTCATGACCCAAGCTGCAGTTGGACGTCCAACCGACTGAGCGCCCCAGACGCCCCTCAATCCGCGTGGCTGGAACGATGTTGCCAGGCGGAGGGCGATGCCTGGGCTGCATCCGGATGGGGAAGTTTGCCTGGTGGGGGAGGGTGGCACGGGGCATTCTTGGCTGCAGGGAGGAAAATGCAGGGGATGGTAAGTTCTGGAAAGATAAGCCAGGCCAGACCACTTCTGTGCTTGAAAGCCAGGCCTGGGGGCCGGGGGTCCTGTCTCAGGGCACTGGGGAGCCACAGGAGGGCAGGGAGCAGGGAAGAGTAGGGTCAGCTTTGGGTGTGGGCGCCTGCGCAGGGAGGCCCGGGGAGGAGGCTGAGGCGCGGGTCCATGGGGACAGGACAAGGCTGGCCCAGCGCAAGGGCGCTGAGAGCAGAGGAGGGCAGAGCAGAGGGAGACTGACAGGGGTGTGGGGGGAGGGGGAGAATAGAGGGGAGGCCGGGCTGGGAATCTGGTCCTGTAACCTGATGAGCGAGACTGCTCTTCTAGGATGGGGACTTGGGGAGGGTGCAGATTTGGGCCACAGACCGGGGGACCCCCACTTCTAACCCGAGCGAGCGATGATTCTGCATAAGGGGCCGAACTGGCCTCTTCCCGGCTCTCTCTGCCCCTTCCCTCCCCACGGAACCCTCCAAGACCCCAACCTGCAAAAACTCTCACAAGCCAGAGCCCCATCGCTCGGCGTGGTGGTGGGGAAACTGAGGCAAGGTAGCAGAGTCACCCAGACGGCTCTGGGTTGGGACTCAGACGTCCAGATTCTGGGTCTGGTGCTCCTTCCTTGCCTGGGGTCCCCTCCCTCCGCCCACCCGGCCTCCCTGACCGCTCTCCCCGGCCCATAGGATCTCCACGGCTCCGTGAAGCGTATTTGCCAATTCCTGGGCCGGCCGCTGGGTGAGGAGGCGCTGGGCTCCGTCATGGCGAACTCAGCATTCGGTGCAATGAAGGCCAATGCCATGTCCAACTTCACCCTGCTGCCCCCCAGCCTGCTGGACCAGCGCCACGGTGCCTTCCTCCGGAAAGGTGCGGGGGGGGGGGATGGGGAGGGGTCCCACCAGGCCACTGCCTGCTTGTGCGCCTCGGGCCAGCTATGTTGGGCCTCAGTTTTCCCAGCTGACACGCGGGGTTGCTCCGAACAGAACTGCCTTCACAAGGTCACTGTGGACCCCCCCACACACCCCCCACGGCTTAGCACAGGGCTGGGCATCCAGAGAGCCCCACACTGCAACAAAACGGCCTCATCCAAGGCCACAGCCAGGACCGAACCGCTGGAGGCTATATAGAGCCTTCGTGAATCTTTCTTAGTGTAAGGTTCACCCCAGAAACATTCAAGCGCTTGGATTACGGGGGGGGGGGGGGAGAGTGTCTTCCTTCCTATTTCTGCTAAAAGACCCCAATGCAGCGGGTTAGCCCCACCCATGTTAATTCCCTAGAGCTCTGGTCACAAGTCCCAAGTCAGAGTTGCTGGGTTAGAACCAAAGTCTCAGAGGGACTGTGGCTTCTGGAGGCTCTCGGGGAGAATCTGTTCCCGGCCTTCTCAGCGTCCAGCCCCGCGCGTATTGCTGGGTGCCTCCCCCCCCCCCCCCCGTCTTCAAATCAGAAGAGTGGCGTCTTCTCATCTCTGACTCCAACCCTCCTGCCTCTACGTCTTTTTTCTTTGTATGTTTCTTTATTTTGAGAGAGAGAGAGAGAGAGAGAGAGAGACCAAGAGGGAGCGAGTGGTGGAGGGGCAGAGAGAGACATGGAGAGAGAGAGAGAGAGAGAGAGAGAGAGAATCCCAAGCAGGCTCCACGCCGTCAGTGCAGAGCCTGATGAGGGGCTCGAACTCACAGCCATGAGATCATGACCTGAGCCCAGATCAAGAGTTGGACACTCAACCCCATGGAGCCACCCAGGTGCCCCTCCCCCTTCTTCTTATAGGGACCCTTGTGGGTCTACCTGGGTATAATTCTGCATAATCATCTTCCCCATCTCCGGGTCTTTAGCCGATGCCACCTGCAAAGTCCCTTTTGTAAGGTCACATATTCATAGGCTCCAAAGACCAGGATGCTGGAGGGGTGTGATTATTCAGCCTGTCACAGGGAGCCCCCCACACCCCCAGACCTCACTAGGGGCGTCATGTAATACGTGGTGTGCACGCTTGCTAAAATCCAAAATGCCATGATCCAAATGACATCGGCCCCTGGATTCCAGGAGACGGGGTGGCACCCCACGTTGAGGCCCCATGACGAGGTGAGAAGTGCCAGGGGCAGAGGGGCCCCTGCCTTCTGCCTGGGCACCTGGAGGGGCAGAGGTCATGCCCCTTGCCTGCTGGGGGGCCGTGAGCGGTACCGAGGGCAGCCCCTCAGCGCGTTCCCGGGCGCGCGGTGTGGGAAAGCGTTCATTCCCACTGTCACGGCCACCACGGAGGTAGGGTAGGTGTTGCATGAGCCCCAGTGGGCGGAAGCCTTTTTCTAGCCCGGGAGGTGAGGGTCGGACAGGGCGCCAGGAATCCGACGTTCTGGGCAGAGACTTAAGGGGCCAGGGGGTAAAGTTGGAGGAGGAGGGCAACAGGTGTACCGAAGGGATGGGCAGGGTAGGGGGGAGTCGAGGGAGGGAGGGGGCTAAAATGGTGCCCAGGGGTCCCGCCAGGGTGAGCGGCAGCCACCAGTTGGAGGTAAAGCGGCAACATGGAGATGAGGGGGTGGGGGGGAAAGAGGGTGCCGGGATGTGGGGCGCGGGGGCTGTTCCCGACGCTCCTCACCTCACCGCCCCACCCCTCCCCTCCAGGGGTGTGCGGTGACTGGAAGAACCACTTCACGGTGGCGCAGAGCGAAGCCTTCGACCGCGTCTACCGGGAGCAGATGCGGGGGCTCCCCGCCTTCCCCTGGGACGACCCCGAGGACGCCAGCCCGGACCCCGACCCCAGCCCCACCCCCGCCCAGGCCTCCGAGGACCCACCCCACCTGTGACCCTGACAATAAACGCGTCGCCTCTGTCCCGGCTCTGTCGATGCGCTCTGGAGGTGGCGTGCCGGCGGGCGGCCGGCAGGGGGCGCGCGAGGGAGGAGGCCGCTGGGGTGGCGCCCGGCTCGCCCAGCGACTCTGAGGGAGGCGGGGTTCGTGGGGCTCCTGCGGGGCTGTGAAAATGCAAGATTGTGGCACAAAGCAGCTTTATTCTGAGCAGAGGTAAAGGGACCCCAACAACGCGCCCCTTAGCGCCCGCAGAACAGTCCCAGCGCCCACGGCCCTGACCCGTCCCCCAGCAGGGGTACCCACCAACTTCCTGTCGCTCACTATTAAGCCCCACTCCCCGGACTGGACTGTCTCCTCTCTCCTCTCCTCTCCTCTCCTCTCCTCTGCCAAGCTCAGTTTGCCCGCAGCTCCGGAGCGTGGTAGATACAGGAGGCGCCCCGCCCTGTCCCGGGGACCCCCGCCCTGAAATAGCACTTGCCCTGTCCGGGCGTGACAGCCGGTCCAGACTTTCTGCCCATTTTCTAAACTGCGACCTTGGCATCCAGACTGAGCACTGGGCTTCCCCACGTTCTAGAACAAAGGGGGAAAATATCCCTACCGCTTCCCAGACACCGAGGCCAGAAGCCTTGTCCAAGACACAACACGGTGGGGGGGGAGTGCAGGGAGCTGGCTGTCTGCAGGCCGGTCCAGGGTGGCTTTGGCTCCCATCAGGGTCGCCCCCTGAGTCCTGCCTGGGCAGCCCAGTCTGGCTGCGGGGTGCCTCGGGGATCCTGGAGTTTGGAGGCAGCGTCTTCACCAACCCTCCTTCTGGTCGGGGACAGATAGCGGAGGCGGCGGGCAGGGAGGAGGGGCAGGGGGCCGCCTGGGGGCTGGGAGCGGCCCAGGGGACAGGGTTCTGTGTCCCCCCAGGGGGCCCCTCCCTTGCCCCGCTGCCTCATCAGGGCCTTCGCGGGGGTGTCCTTGGAACCCCAGGATTTCTTGAGCTGTGGAGGGAAAGACAGGGAGGTGAGAGAAGGTCTTGGGGATGAGTCCAGGCAAGGGGAGGTGTGTTTTGGGGGGGAGGCCTGGGGGTCCACAGGAATCGTGTTTCCCCCCTGCAACTCTGCACTTGAGTGGGAACAGGAAGCAGCCAACAGCTGCCTGAGGGGGAGCAAATATTTGCCAAGGGAGGTGATGCTGGGTGAGGGTGGCTCAGGACCGGGTGGAGGCGAGGACCTTGCCCCTGATGTGCCCGTCCCCGCTTCTCCCCTAGACCGGAAACCAAGGAGGCGATTCCTGGGACATTCCTCCATCCCCCTCCGCAAAGGTCCCCACTTGTTCCCACTTTGCAGATGGGGAAGCTGAGCCCGAGACAAGGGCACAGCTCACGGAGAAAGTGTACCCCGGCCCCGCTGGCATCCAGGGCCAGTGCACCTGTTTGTCCCACTGGGCTCTGCCCCCACCCTCTCGACAGCCCGCTTTACAGCGGAGGGCACTGAGTCCCCCCACCCAGGATCCCAGAGAGTTAGGGCAGGCTGTGCTGGAACCCTGGTGTCCAACCAGCTGGGGGGGGGGCAAAGACCCCCTCAGAGCTCGCCAAATCCTCCCCCCCCACTCCTGTGACACTCGAATCCGGGAAGCCAGGGGCAGAGCATTTAAAAGCTTCACCCAGGAGGCCACCAGGGCCGAGGTGCAGTCTCTCCCCGGCGCCTAGTTTCCTCATCTGTGAAATGGGTGGGTTGTAATAACATCCACCTCAGAGGGTTGTGGCTAAGGTCCCATCCAACCACCCCTGTGAAAGCACCCGGCGTGTGGCAAGGCGCCCCCCCCAAAGACTGTTGCTTTGACCCAGGGCAAGGACTTGACCTCTCTGAGCCCTAGCTTTCCCATCTGTAACCATGAACGTGAGAAGACGATGACCTCACTGACCTGGGGATGAGGATGTCATGAACTCAATAAAATCAATTCCACTTCGCGGACTTGCTGTCATGATTATGTTTCTGGTTCACCCACCCCTCACTGACTCAACCAAACCGAGCATGGGGAGCACTGCTGGGCCCATTTGCTAGATGAGAACGTGGAAGCTCAGAGAAGGCAAATCTCTGCCCATCCGGCTCCCACAATGGGTGTATCGTGCCCGGATTTGCTCCCAGGGTGGCTCTCAGGGTCTCTGTCCCAGGCCGCCCAGCGCTCAGCCCTGCCTGGCATGCAGTAGGGCCACAGGAAATGGTCCCTGTGATCCTGAACTCAGGTGAGCGCCTTCGTTTCCCCCGCCTCCCCCCACCCCCTGCCTGGAGCCAGGCACATAGTAGGCCCTCAGCTGCCTCCGTCGTCTTCTAGCTATTCCTGTCCTCTCTCAGGCCAGCCACCAGATCTCACCTCGTTGTCACCGTCGCTGGAGCCGGACATCTGGGACAGGCGGCTCAGGTCCCACAGGGAGCGGCTGGGCCGGGCCGGGGGGCCACTGGGGGTCCGGGCGCGCTGGACACTCCTCAGGATGTCGCTCAGCGCCGGCCCTGGGGCGTCCGGGGTCTCCTGCCTCTGTCTGTCAAAGACTCGGCAGGCGGCCAAGCGTTGGGCCAGTGGGCCGTCAGGCAGTGGCGGTGACATGGGGGCCACAGAGCGGCGGCGGGCCACACGGTGGGGGTTGTGGGCCAGCTGCAGCCCCCCCACAGTGCTGACGAAGGGGCCCAAGGCGGGCGCAGACGGGAGTGGCCAGGAGGCTGCGTACAGTGTCCGGAACTCTCGGCTGAAGGCGTCAGCAATCTCGCCGGTCAACAGCGTCACCAGGCCTCGGTGCAGGCGGGAGTCGCTCCATGTGAAGCTGGGGGACACGCAGCGAGGGCTCAGGCTCTCCGTGCAGCCCCACTGGCCCAGCCCGGCCCCCGTTACTGTCCCCCATCTGGTCCCAGGGCAGGCTGTGTGACCTCAGGCAAGTCCTGCCGCCTCTCTGGCCTCAACATCCCCCTCCCTAGAATGGGAACAACTCACGCACCTACCCAAAGGGTTGCTGTGACGACTATGTGAGTTAAGATACTTAAATTACCTTAAGGGACTCTGCCCCTTCCCCAGCCAAGTCTAGGGCAGTGCCTCAGTTTCCCCATCTGGAAAGAGATGGGATCTGTTTTCTGACTCCACAAGTCCTGTTACGAGACTTGGCTGCTTCCCATATAATGACGGCCATTTATCAAGCACCTGCCGTGGGGCTGCTCCATGCGTGTCTCCTCCTCTGTATTACAGAGCTCAAATGGAGGGAGAGGGGGATGAGGGCACAGGGGGCTGAGCTCCGTGCCCGGGGGCCAGCACTAAAAGCCTGCTGGCTTTGTTGAGCAGTGTCCCCGTCGTCTCTGCTTTCACGGCGGTGGCGTGTAAAGCATCTGGCACAGGTCTTGGCATACAGCAGGTGCTCAGTAAATGCCCTCTTTGGAATCACACGAACCTACTCAGGGGACCTTGGCCACGTCGCCTTCCCTTCCTGAGCCTTGGTTTGCCCGTCTGGAAAATGGGCTCACCATGGGCCGTGTGCCCTGCGCCCCGGCGGGCACAGCACCCAGCGCCCAGAGGGCGGACGACTCCGCCACCAGGGTGGCGGGTGTGGGTCCGATCACCCTCACCTTGGCGGGGCGCCAGTGTTGTCCGCCACTCCCTGGCAGGTCAGCCGGCCTGGGTTTCTGCCCTGGGATTGTGACGCCCCTCCCCCCACCTGTGACCTCGCCGCTGGCGTGGCCAGTGGGAACCCTGAGGGGTCTGTGAGGTCACCCCATTCCGCTCCACAAAGACTCCCGTCAGGTAGCGCCCGCTGGCTTGTCTCCGTCCCGGGGAAGCTTCTGAGACCCAAGGACTCGAGAGCCACGGTCACGACGGAGCCCCTGAGAGGGACACGGAGCGTTGGGAGCCGAGGACACTCCAAGTGCTGTCCCCGGGAGGCCGGCCGGGGGCGAAAGTCGCGGGGGAGGGAGTCTCGGGAGCGTCATTCGGCAGTTCCGGGGGGGCCCAGGAAGCCCACGGCCTGGCTTGGGCCCCGTCACCGCCACCAGGCCACCATGGTCCCCGGCTGGCTGCTGCTTCTGGCAATGGCTCTGCCCCCGGGCGCCAGGGCCGCCAAGGACTGTGTGTTCTGTGAGCTGACCGACTCCACGCGGTGCCCCGGGTCCCACATGCGCTGCGGCGAGGACGAGGACTGCTTCACCGGCCACGGGGTGGCCCCGGGGCTCGGCAACATCATCAACAAAGGCTGCGTGCAGTCCACTTCCTGCGGCCACGAGGAGCCCGTCACCTACATGGGCGTCACCTACACCCTCACCACCACATGCTGCTCCGGCCACCTGTGCAACAGCGCCACCAGCCCCGAGAGCAGCCAGAGGGCAGGGGCCAGCGCCGCCTCGGGCCTGGTGCTGGGCCCGCTGCTCTTCCCACGTCTGCTGTGACCGACCTGAAGGGCAGGGCCCGGGGCTGGTCTCCTCGCTGCTCCCCCAGCCCCCTGCCTCGCCCCTCCCCTCCATTAAACGGCCCTGGACAACCTCGCGTGGCCCTGGCCTCATCCATTCTGGGGCTGTCCACCCTGAGCCCAGGCCTGATTTAGTGGCGAGGAGCCACGCTCGGTGGGTTTGACTGTACCCCCTCCTGTATTTCATTGGTTCTAAGACGCATCTCTCTTCTCCTGTTGATCGGCATGCTGCTTTTCCGCAGCGGCACCTTAGAGTCGATGAAATATGGTAAAAATAAATAAAGAAATAAATAATGACGATAATAAATGATGGCTGATGTTTACGGAGCGCTGCGTCCGTTAGGTGCCAAGGCACCGTGATCTTGTCTAATCCCCCAGGCAAAGCCGGGAAGGTAGGCTCTTTACAAAAGATCCCAGGCTCGACGGTAGGGGTTCCCAGCACAGGGTCCTCGGACGGGCAGCGTGGGTAATCAACCGGAGGAAATTGCCAGGAATGCCGATTCTCAGGCCCCATCCCAGGCCGGCTGGGGGGGCGCGGGGGGGCCCCGAGATTTGTATTTTGATTCCGATGCAGGCAGGTCTGAGATTGAAAACCACTAGTCTGGAGCGATGGTAATCGACCAGGCACGTCTGCCCCCCAGGGGACACCTGGCGATGTCTGCGGACACTTTGGCTTGTCGTAGTGGGGAAACGGGGTGCTATCGTCATCTACTGGGGAGAGACCCCAGATTCGGTTCAGCCCCCTCCAGTGGTCCTCACAACACAGAACCATCCAGAATCCAGCTCGTCCCAAACGTGAGCAGCACCTCTGTCAAGAAACCCCACTCCCATGGGGCTCCTGGGTGGCTTAGTCGGTTAAGCATCCGACTTTAGCTCAGGTCATGATCTCATGGTTCGTGGGTTCAAGCCCCACATCGGGCTCTGTGCTGACAGCTAGCTCAGAGCCTGGAGCCTGCTTCAGATTCTGTGTCTCCCTCTCTCTCTGACCCTCCCCTGCTCATGCCGCCTCTCCCTCTCTCAGAAATAAATAAAAACGTTAAAAAAAAAAAAAGAAAAGAAAAGAAACCCCACTCCCCAGGCACTAAGCACACCATCCCGCTCTGTAGAGGGGGAACCTCAAGCACAGAGAGGTGAAGTCAGTTGCCCAAAGTCACACAGTGAGAAGCCACAGTTTGATGAGGGTCCATGCACCCTGCACCTTCCCGAGCTGTGACCTTAGGAGGTAGGTACTGTGATTATTCACACCTTGCCGATGGGGAAACTGAGGCTCAGAGCAGGGGAGGCACGGAGCTCGGTGTCTCAGAGCTAAGAGGTCGAGGAGCCAGGATCCAGGGATGGTCAGACCCCAAAGACAGGGGGGAGGAGGGTCACGGGCCAGTCCGAGGGCCAAGCCCTTGGCACACCAGCTCTTTTTTTTTTTTTTTTTTTTTTTTATAGATGCGTTGAGAGGCGGAGGTAACTCACTCAGGACAGAGCTAGGACTCCAGCCAGCTTCTCCTGGTTTGGAAACCCACACACAAACTGCTGGCTCTGCTTTCCAAACAAGGAGACCCAGGGTTTAAAGAGAGGACCCTCCCCCAGGCCGCTGAACCGGCCCCCTAGGCAGGCAGGCCTGGCTTGACACCCCCCACCCCCCCTCCACTAGCTCTGCCCCTCGGTACCTCCTCTACCGGTGAGGGTGTTCCAACCCATTTCACAGACCAGGGAGAGAGAGGCTGCTCAAAGGGACTCCAGCCACTCTCTGAGCACACTGGGAGTTGGGGACAGGGCACCGGGTAGTGTCGGGAGGGGCAGCCGCACCTGTAGGATCCGGAGAGGACCCTCTCGCCGTCCAGCAGCACAAACTTCTCACGCACGTTGCCGCTCACCTGCCGTCGCCAGCGGCTCTGGAAACTGCAGCCCCGCACGACCCGGATGTCGAGGTTCTGGAGTGGAGAGGGCACACTTTTTGCTCGGGCCGACCTCACACGCCTCTGCTCACTGTGCAGCGCTTGGGGGTCCCCTGCTTAGGACTGTGTCCCAGCTTCCCCAGACCTACCAATAAGGGGACTTGACGGGGGCAAGGGGGGATTATGGTGGAGATATGCCTAGCTCAGAGGGACCCCGTGGGACGACCCACCCCTGATTCCCCCAGTGCCTTGGGCATCCGATCTCAGCAGACCCTCTTAGCTGCCATCTAACTCGATGAGCCAGGAGTATGGCGACTTGGGTCCCTTCTGCCAGGCTCCTACCTCTGTGGCCCAGGGGTTCACCCCCAGCTGCTGTGCCAGCATCAGGAAGGCAGGCAGCTGCTGGCGGTCCAGGAGCAGGTAGACAGGCACCCAGCGGCGTGTGGCGGTGTCTACCAGGTCCCAAAGCAGGTCTGGGTCAGTGAAGATGTCCATGACCACGGCCACTAGCTGAGAGGGGGGAAGGGGGGGGAAGGGCTGTGGATGGAGCCTGGAGCTCTGGGACATTAGGGGATGGGGGGCAGGGTCCTGGGGTTGAGGTGCTCTGGGGGTGGGAGTCGAAGGGCCTGGCCTCCGGCGGGATGTTTGGGGGGACTGTGGGAGACCACCCCCCAGACCCACACTGCTGTTCATCCACCGCCTACATGTGAATGAGAAAAAAGCTGCCCTTCCTGGAGACCGAGGCCTTGACTGCTGGAAAACTGTCATCCTGATCACGTCTGCAATGGGGAATGATGGTGGCCCTGCTCCAGGGCACTGTGGTCAGCTGCGCAGCTCTGTCCTTGGGGGTACCCTGGACACCAGGGGTGGGAGGGATGGCCTGCTAGGCCCCCCAGAGCTCCCCTGGGGTGGGGTGTGCTGAGCGCCTGGGAATATGTAGCAGTGATGAATCCTGATCCACTGGCCAGAACTCCTTGGTTCAAATCCCCACTCGGCCACTCACCGGTGAAGAGATTTAACCTCCCGTGCCTCAGTTTCCCCATCTCCTCACTTGGTAAAATGCATCCCAACCTCACAGGACCCTCCTGAGGATCATTAAATGCTAACCCGTGTAAAGCACTTAGCGTGGGAGCCGGCAGGCACAAAGTTGTTAAATAAGGAACAGGCCAGGGGCGCCTGAGTGGTGGAGCCTCCCGACTTCGGCTCAGGGGTCATGATGTCACGGCTCGTGAGTTCGAGCCAGGAAACCTCTGGAGGAGGAGCTTCGGATCCTCTGTCTCCCTTTCTCTCTCTGCCCCTCCCCTGCTCGCTCTCTCTCTCAAAGATAAAATAAACATTAAAAAAAAAAGAGTGAAGAACAGTAAGCTACCCAGGAGGGCTGCAGGGGAGAATCTGGGGGTGGGGTGGAGTAGATGACTGAGCCAGGAGGTTATAGTTAGGTCCAAGGGGTCTGGATGCCTGGGGGTCCCCAGAAGAGAGGGGGAGGGGGAGGAGGTCTGAGGGATACCGACATCTGCCTCACTGGGGCGGAGAGATGTGGACTGAAGTCCCAGGGGGGCATGGCTGAGACGCCCTGGGCCCTCACGGGTGTGCACTCCCAGGATGTGCGGGTCTGGGGAATGGACACTGAGCTCCCCCCGAGTCCCCACCTTGCGGGCGGCCTGGATTTCCCGGCGCACCAGCTCCTTGAGGGGCGGGTGGCCCTCTTCAGGTGGCTGGGTATACAGCTGTGCCCGGGTGATTCCCTTCCAGGCCGGGGCCTCTGGCCAGCCCAACCGCAGTGTGGGCACCAGATCCTCTGACCGTCCGGGCCAGTAGGTCAGGCTGCCCGAGTCCCCGTCGGCGGCCACGGCTCCCTCTGCCGCCCTGTCTGGCCGCTGCTTGGATGCTGTCCAGTCCTCGGCCGCCGCCACCAGGCTCCGCTGCTCTTCCCCGCTCAGGAAGGGCTGCAGCCCCTCACGCTGCACGCAGGCCTCGAATGCCTCCGCGCCCTTGCTCAGCAGAGCCTCGAGCGCCAGCCGCTGGCCCTCGGAATACAGGAAGCCGGGGCTGGCCTCGGTCAGGGGCAGCCCCCCGGTCCCCGACTCCACTCCTTCCAGCGCCGCCAGCTGTGAGGCTGCCATGGGGCTGCTTGGGTGGGACGGCCGTGAGGCTGGGCGTCTGAGGGTTTGGCCGTCTCTGGGGGACACGTCATCTGGGGGGGGGGTCTCCTGGCCTCAGGCAGTCCTCTATGCTCTGCCGCCGTGCAACAACTTCCGACCCGCTGGCCACACGATGCCCGGACAGATCCGTCAGCTGGCTCAGTCTTGGTCAGGCTGACAGCCCACCGGTCCTGGCCAAAGATCCGGCTGACTGCCCCACCATCTCCAGGCCACAGGCTGTCTGCCTGTCTCTTACCACCCAAATGTCCCTAACTAAAGGCAGAATGGGCGCCTATTTGCCCCTGTCAAGTGCGTCTTGACGCTTTTTGATCACCTGGCAAACATCAGTTGCTTCCAACTAACAATGTCAGTATCTGACCACCCGGTGGAGCAGCCGGCTGTGTCCAGCAGAATCTTGTTTTTTCCTGACAACTCGTGGCTGGCTCAGCGGCTCTCACGGACTGATCGTTCCCTGCACCTCCTCTTCGGCCCTGCTCTCTCAGCTTGGGAAGAATGGGCTCCAGCCCTAAATCTGTGCATCACCCTTCCCCAGCCCAGGGAATGACCAGAGACCTGTCTCTGTCGACAGGGGACACTGCTCCTGGGGTTTTACACCCACTTGGGCTGTGACAGTGGGAGGATCCACTCAACAGGGGCTTTCATCACCCTGGAACCCACCCATCTAGATTGAGGGCCCAACGAGCCACTGTCCCTTGGATTGGCTGCCCCTGCCCGTCTCCCACCCAGAGAGGTCTTGAGCTGCCATCTGAGCTCTGCTGGTCCCTCGCCAAGCTGCCCCGGCCGGTTTCTGCCTGAATCCTGCGATCTCCTGCTAGCTGATCAACCACTCATTCCTGGCCAACGACCACTCTATATCCTGTCCTGTCTCCCCCTCATGCTGCTCCTTTGAGGCTCCTGACCCAACCTTTAGACTGTAGACCCCTGATCCCTGCAAAACAGTGGCCCCTCCTTCCAATCACAGCACCCAGGCGGCTTGCCTCCTCCAGACCACAGCGATGAGGCCTACAGAGATAAGAGGAATAAAACCAGGACTCCCTCTCGCCCATCCAGAGCTTCCCCGATGTGTCCAGGCCCCCATCCCCTTTCCCTCCTCGCCTTGCCTTTTCAGAGGTCCGAATAGGGGTCCGGAGACCTGTCTTTACTTCTGCCGTTCTTCCGGCTGTCTCGCCTCATTCATCAGGTTTCAGTCTGGGATCCGGGGAACCCAGCCCCTTGTGTAAACACAGAGGAGGGCCCCAGGCAGGTCCCTGCAGGAAGGCCTAGTCCGGGTATGGGAAGGCCCCAGCTCAGGGAACACACTCACTAGGTCACTGGCCCGGGGCCCAGAGGCTCGCCAGACCCCAGCTGACTCAAGCTTTGGGGAAAAGGGGAGCAACTCACCTGTTCCCACGTACCCCTCCCCCACCGCGGCGCCGCCCCCTCAGCACTTCCGGGTCCATACCCTGCCCACCATCCCTGGCCTGGGAGGAGCTCGGGCTTAGAGGGGCAGGTGTGGCTAATCCGGGGGAGGGAACAGGTGTGGAAACACCTGTCACCGAGCTTACTGAGGGGGCGGGACTCTGGCCATAGGGGGCCCTCAAGGGTCCGACAAAGCAAGATCCAGACAAGCAGCACCAAAGCCTGCAGAGGGCGCCTGCAGGTAGAGCTAGACTCCGCCTCCCCCGACTGGTCTCCATGGAGATGGGCAGGCATCCTACTCCCAGACTCCCCCAAAGCTCCAATCCAATCCCATCCCCTCCCGGGTACCATCTAGGTCGTCTGTCCCATGTCCCCCAATAACACACAACACCATCAACAGTCAACATCTTTTTAATAACAAGGCAGGATCTGGGGTTAGTTTTTGTAGCCTCGGCTGGCCCTGCGGCCTCTGGCGCGCTCGAACTTCCGGCCCTTGGATCGCACGTAGGGTCTGCGGGAGGAAGAAGAGGGTGAGGTTGGGCCCATGCGGGAGTCGGGGACAGGGCCAGCTTGCCTGCTTGCTCTACAGGTGGGCACGAGGCATGGGATGGGGGGACCGGGAGCGCCGTCAGCATCCCCACTCAGGAAGGATGGTCTGAGCTGCCCCAAGGGCGGGGTAAGACGCAGGCTCCATCTGGGACTCGGCATGGGGCCCTAGAGGCCCCGCATTTCTATGGTGGCTCTGGCTCCACAGGCAGAGCCTCAACAGCAACAGCCTTAAGCTCAGTCTTGAGGAAGAAGCAGGAAGACAGGGGGTAGTTCTAGAGGCCTGAGGCTGGACTAGTGTGAGATGGAGGGGCTGGAGGCGAGATGCAGCCCCCGGGCCCACAGGGTGGGGGCCAGGCGGCAAGGCTGGGTATACTCACTTGGTGTGGCTGTGAGGGGTTCCTGGGGCCTTGCCGAAATGCCTGTACACCTCTCGGCCCTTGCGTGGACCTAGGAAGGGGAGGGAAGGAGTGGTCAGGCAGGGACTCGGCTCCCAGAAGTAGCCACCGGAGCCACTAAACGTCACTCACCGGACAGCAAGACGGTGCCACAGCCCTTGGGGGAGTCCAGGGCCAACTGGTCGAAGGTGAGGATCTTGCCTCCAGCTTTGAGGATGCGGCTCCGGGCGCGGCTGCTCACACGCAGTGCACACACCTGCAGGACACATGAGACAGTCGTGGTCAGAGCCCTGGCACGGCCACCACGGCCCCACGGCCCCCGGCGCCTGCTGACACCTTCATGAGTTGACAACAACCCTTCTTACCGTTTTTAAAACACATTTATTAATTTATTTTGGAAAAGAAAATGCACACATAGGGGAGGAGCAGAGAAAGGAAGAGAGAACCCCAAACAGGCTCTGGGCTTGATCCCATGAACTGTGAGATCATGACCTGAGCTGAAATCAAGAGTTGGGACACTTGACCCACCCAGGCGCCTCCCCCAGTTTATTTCTAAAATTGCCTTTAAGACCGCAGCACCCTGAAGTTACTATGGATACGCAAGGAGAGGCGTTAGAGACTGGGCACCTTGTCCACAGGCCGCAAACTGGCAGAGAAATCTAGGTTTGAAGCCAGGCTATGCGACTCTGAGAACCAGCTCTGCCAACAGGGACCGGAATGGGCACGCCCAGGGACAGCCACCATCAAGAAGGCCCAGGACAATCCCCCTTCCATGCTAAAAGCCGCCCAGACAGGGAGGTGTATAGATGGGGATGCATCTGTGTGCGACAGAGGTCATTGGGGCACCGGAGTCTGCACCTGCCCGCCCACTGGCTCCTGGGCGCCTCCACACCCACCTTCAGCTTGGGCACCTCCTGGACCCGCACGTCGTCGGTGATCGTCCCGACCACCACGGCGGTTTTGTTTTCCCGGCCAGGCAGCTTCATCTTCCGGATCTTTGGAGGAGAAACACACAGTAAGTAAGTTCCCTCTGGGGTCTGACCTCCATCCCACCGCTTCAGGTGCCCCAAGGGCCGAAACACACGTCCCCTGATGGGGCCACACGCACCCATAGGTCTAGCCTGGGAAGAACAGCAGACACAACGCGCAAGCAGCCTGTTCAACAGGTCACGCCTTCGAGAGCGCCTCTGCCGGGTAAGCACACGATGCCACTACGGCCGCCCGCTTTACAAGGAAACAAGGCCAGAGCCACTCAAGCACCCACTGCTGCTCAGCGTCGCAGGTCAGAACTCTGCGCCCCTCACCGGGTGAAGTACACCGGCCGATGGCCAGGCCCCAGCTCCCCCCAACCCAAGCTTGGCTTTGAGACACAATCCAGCCGCTCAGTCAGCCCCTCACCATCCGAGAAAGGGACAGAGGCGGCCTGTTGGTGCGACTCATGAACAGTCTCTTCAACACGACTTGGTTAAAGGTAGAGTTGGTCCGTCTGGCCAGAAACCGGTACAGCTGCAGAAAAGAGAAAAGGAAGGATGAGAGAACGCAGGGCAGCCCACACCCCTCCCTCTCAGTGAAAAGCAAAAGAAATGATGGTTTGCACTAGCAAGGCTCTTACGGCATCTCCCCCATCCCACTGGGCCCCAAGGAGAGCCCCACAAACCCCCACCCCCCAGCTGTATACAGCCTGGGCACGGAGAACACTGAGCCTTCAGGAGGCCTGGGCAAAAGCAGTTATGAGCCCGCCACGCAGGCCCCTGGGAGAGCCCGGGGACCAATACTGGAAAGGAGGTTCTAGAAGCTGCAGTTCTGTCACAGTGCTGAGAGGCACCCTCAGGCCTCAACCTCACCTTAACCAACAGTCTCAGGTAGATGTCCTGGCTCTTAGGTTCCTTGCGCCGAACCTTTCGGTCCTTATTGTGGCGGATGTCGACTCCCTGCGCAGTTAAGGAGAGACCACGGACCCAACTTGGATCTGGCAGATCACTGACTTGCGAAAACAAGTTTATTGCTTATCTCCGAAGAAGGGCTAGGGTCCCAGTCTCTTGAGGGACGACAAATCCCAGAGATTTACCCCTAGGTGACATGCAGAGTCACTTAAAACCCTTTGGGGGGGGGGGCACCTGGGTGGCCCAGTCGTTTAAGCCTCCGACTTCGGCTCAGGTCATGATCTCACGGTTCATGGGTTCAAGCCCCACGTCGGGCTCTGTGCTGAGGAATAGCTCAGAGCCTGGAGCCTGTTTCAGATTCTGTGTCTCCCTCTCTCTCTGCCCCTCCCCATTCATGCTCTCTCTCTCAAAAATAAACAATAAAAAAAATCTCCCGGGCCTCAAAAGACCCCTATGAAAAGCTTTAACACAGCTGCCACATCAACTCAAAGAAAAAAAAAGTTTAATTCTTTAGAAGCTGTATTTTTCAACAACAGAAGCCAAGGGCACCCTCTACCTATTAACATAGGGGAGAATCTTTATTAGGAACTTACTCCACACAGAGCCAACACAAAACCTTTCATGCACATCTCGAATCCGATCTTATGAAGCAGTTTCCCAGTTTTACTGAGAAAACTGAGAAAGCCACAATTTCCACCAGACCCTACCCATCTTCTACCCCGAGGATTTTTTTTTCAAGTAGGCCAAGTTAGGAATTGTCAACAACTACTCGGCTACTCCCAGCTCCCTTTTCTCCAACGCTTAGCGTACGCACTCCTCTAGGACGTGTCCTTCCGACCAATTATTTCTTCTCAAACTCCCATCTGTAACAAGGCTACTGGGTCTCCAGTGAACAGCCCAAGAAAAGCAAGATCACAGGAGCTGTGGACAAGGAGCTGCCACTTCAGAGGTTTGCCCGGCCACAAAACCCAGGCATTGGACGGGCAGAGATCCCCCTGGCCCCCAACCCAACCCCACCGCCCAACGTGCCAGGCCAGGCGGAATGACAGATCCAGATAGAGGCAGCAGAGACAAGAGATTAAGAATGGACCTGGGACCAGCGCCTGGGTCCGAATCCTGGCACTGCCACTTCCTGGCAGTGTGTTCCCGGTCACATCGCTTAACCTCTTCGTGTCTCAACGTGCTCATGTACTTAATGGTGCATGTAACAACCGAAGAATAAACGGAGGGGCCGGAGGCTGGGAGCACTGACCTATCCCTGGCCTTCGAGCCTCCCAAATAATTCCCCCACCGCGGGAATCGCCCCGTCTGCTCTCCCCTGGCATCCCTGCTCCCCTCCAGCATCCCCCCAGCCCAGGTCCGAGACGGATGGCGGCGGATAGTCCGGCCCCCAGCGCCTCAAAGCGCGCTCACCATGATGGCGCCTCCTGCTCAGCCAGGTCCGGAAAGAGAGAACAGTACCGGGGTGGGCGGGGAAAGCTCTCGGCGAGTGGCGCCTGAGTGACGTCACGTGCGCCCGACGCGGCGCCGCACTTGAGTCGAGCCTCTTCGCGGCGAATCGCGCAACCGGCCGCAGGGGCGATTCCGGAATAAGTGAGAGACCAGCCAACCGGGCAGAAGCGCTACGTCAAGGAGGCGGGGCCAAGCCCGGCGAGGGCCTCTCTGGCCCCACCATTCCCTATTCTCGATCGTCTTCCGGAAGAATGGGCTCTGGGAGCGAGAGAGATGTGGGGCCGAGCAAGGAGGACGCGGCGTGCGGTGACGCTCTGGCCCGACGCCGACGGCCTCTCTGTGGCTCCTGGAGGACCCGGAGGGCAGAGTATTGGGAGGTGAGGAGGCGGAGCTGGCGGCGCCTGTCAGAACCTCGGGAAACTTCTGACCCCACGCTTCAGGCATTTCCTTATCTGGCTCACCTCTCTTATCTCGAGCCGCGCTTCCCTGGCGCGGCCTTCGCTAGGGAAGTCCTACCTGAGATCTAACCCGAGATCCTCTTGCTGCACCCCAGTCTAGAGCATCCTGTATTTCCCATTTTTAAGATCCCGTTTCTCCCCCTGCTGCTTCTGTGACCCCTCCTCAGCCTCTGCCATCTGGAGGCTGCTTTTCCCAGCCGGAGAGATTCAAGTGACCCAGCGGGATCAGTGCGAGGGCTTTGCACGGTACTGGAATGCGGAGGGGGCGCACCGAAGCCTTGGGCTTGGGGCGTGGGGTGGGGAGGGAATCTCCAGAAGGCTCCTGAAAGAGAGGGGGAGGAGAGACTTCGAGATAAAGATTCCGGGGGGGGGGGGGGGGAGGAGTGGAGACCCAGGGGAGAAGTGGACAGTGACCTGGGGTGAGGGCAATGGAGACCTAGAAAGAGAAGGAAGATGGAGATTGAGGGAGAGGCAGAGACACAAAAAGATGGTGAGATGGGGTCGGGTCAGCTGTAGCCAAATTCCAATCCTGGCTCTGCTCATTACCAACCCTGTGACCTTGGGCAAGTCACTTAACCTCTCTGCGCCTTACTTTCCTTATCTGCAAAAAGGGGATAATAATAGCTTTGGCACATAGAGTATTTTCCAGAATTACATGTTAGTAAAAAAAAAAAAAAAAAGAAATGCTTACAACAATGCTTTACCCTAAGCGCTCAATACAAATTAGCCTCCATGGCCCTTACTGGGTAAGACCAGACAGACTGGCTGGGGCAGTGAGGAAGCTGATCTGTCCCCTCTTTCCTCCTTCCTCAGAGAAACCCTGCCTCCTGGGCCTTCAGCACATCCAGCCTGGCCTACAGTCTGCCCTTGATCCTCTTTATTCACCTGTCCCCCCACGGAGCCAAAGGCCAGGCCCGCACTGTTAGGCCTGACTCCTTGCCCAGACCACCCTCCCATGGCCTCCTGCCCAGGACCAGGGTCTTGCTGATGTGGTAACACAGCAGACCACCAGGAGATGAATGGACACCTTGAAACAGAGGAGCAGGGGGATCAGGTAAGGAAGGGTCGACGTGAACGTTACGATCACCATCCCATGGGACACAGTTGCCTCCTTGTATCTGTTCCCTTGCCTTAGCGATGGCCTCTGTCGTTGAGTCGCAGCCTGTTGGTCTGGTGTGCCTGCCTTTCTCCCAAAATAAGGTGTGTGTTTCCCTGTCTCTCCATCTTTCTGGGTTTCTGTCCCCCGTCTCTCTCTGGATCATTCTTTGGTTTATGTTATCTGGTGCCCTTGCTAGTCTGGGTTTAAACACAAGAAACATTGTTTGATAATAAATGAACTTCCTCCATTCGTCACTTTCTTCTAGCAAGTTCTGTCCCTGTCTCCTTCTGCTCTATGATTCTGTTTCTTGGTTCCCTAGTTATTCTTGCCTTGCTTTCTCTCCATTTCACTATGTCTTTGCTTCTCTATGTCTTGGTCAACATTTTTGCTTTTTTAATTTTTATTTAATTAATTTTTTTTATATTTGAGAGAGAGAGACAGAGACAGAGAATGAGTAGGGGAGGTGCAGAGAGATAGAGACAGAATCCTAAGCAGGCTCCAGGCTCTGAGCTGTCAGCACAGAGCCTGACATGGGGCTGGAACTCGTGAGCAGTGAGATCATGACCTGAGCCGAAGTCGGATGCTTAACGAACTGAGCCACCCAGGCATCCCAACATTTTTGCTTTTTTTTTTTTTAAATTTTTTTAGATGTTTTATTTATTTCTAGGAGAGAGAGAGAGAGACAGCATGAGCAGGGGAGGGTCAGAGAGAGAGGGAGACACAGAATCCGAAGCAGGCTCCAGGCTCTGAGCTGGCAGTCAGCACAGAGCCTGACGCGGGGCTCGAACCCATGAACCGCGAGATCATGACCTAAGCGAAAGTTGGACGCTTGACCGACTAAGCCACCCAGGCACCCCATCCAACGTTATTGCTTTCTGACTCACAGTCTCAGTTCCTCTCAGCCTCTGGTCCTCCAGCAAGGCCTTCCTCCCTCATCCCTGACCTAGAGATGATCTCTCTCACATACTGGGTCTCCCATCTCCCTCTCATCGTTTCTTTGTCTCGCCATGTTACTGGGTCATTCACCGGGCAGATGTCCATGTCACGCTGCCTCTCATCCTGGTTTGGGTCCAAGGTAAATAGATGAATTAATGAGCCTCTTCTCCCTGGCTTTCATTCCGGAAATATCTGCCCCCATCTCCGTATCCATCGTTTTCTGGGTTTTCTTGTGTCCTTAACCTTGCATGTCCTCAATTTTATTATCTTTGTCTCTTTGTAGCTATCTCTGGTTTTCTCAGTGCGTGTCTGACTTTTCTATAACGATCTGAAAAACAGAGGGCACTCTCTAAGTCTCTGACTGCCTCTGCTTTTCTGGGTCTCTTTTACGAACTCCCTCTGCATATCTCCGGGTCTCACCTGTGTTAGGGTCAGTCTGTAATCTGCAGGTGAAGCTCTCCCTCTTCTCTCCGTTCTTTATTTATAAAGTCAATGGATAGGGCAGGCCTGCCACTTGCCCTCCACAAAGATGGCGTCAGCGGCGCTGGCAACGGAGTCGTGACGCCCCCCCTGCTGCGCGTGTGCCCTCACCTAGTATGGCAGCAGATCTCGCGGAGCGCGATGCCCCGCCCAGTCCGCCAGCTCTCCCTCAGCTACCCCTGCGCCAGGCTCGCGAGCTGGCTGGCCCCGCCCCCCGCGCGCTTTCACTGGTGCGGCCCAGGCCGGCCGCGTGGCCATTGGCTGAGCCGATGCACACCCTCCCCCCACCCCTGGGTCTGATGGGGGCGGTTGGTGCTGACTTGAGGGGCCGCCCGGAGGAGGACTCGGCGTGTGAGGAGGGTGCGGGGGGTAGGACCAGGGACCCGCGTCTGGGGGACGGCGGGACCAAGAGGAGCGGAGACGCAGGCCGGGACTGGGGTACCAGGGGTGTGGGATGGAGACGGAGAACCAGAACCGGGCCTGAGGGATCCAGGAATGGAAACCCAGGTCTGGGACTGGGTTCTGGAAATGGGATGGGGATGGAGGACCTGGACCGGAGGAACCGGAGACAGGAACTCAGGCTTATGGATTGGGGGGAACCTATGGATGGAGACCCGGACCCAGGCCCGGGGACCCAGGAGGCGGCGGCTGGAGAGAATGGAGACCGGGCCTAGATTTGAGGACCTGGGGACAGAAGCTCAGGCCCAGGACTGGGGGAGATCTAGGACTCTGTCCTTAAGCCTGATTTGAGCTCACGGATGGGGGTGGGATCGGTACAAGTGTAGGGGTGGAGCCTGAGGGAGCTGCCCAGGGCAGGGGGCAGAGGTGATTCCTGAGGGTGAGTCCATAGATGGGGGTGCATCTGGGGCAGCTCTGGGCCCAGGAAGGAGAGGCGCAGGACTGGCAGGTGGCTGGGTGGGCGGGGCGGTGGGGAACAAAGGTGAGCTGGAAGGAGGCAGAAACTGGGCAGAGGGCAGGGGGAAGGTCTCCGGGGAGGGGACCTCAGGCCCGGCTCCTTCCCCCCTCCCTGGAGAGCAGGCGGCCAGACACCCAGGTCAGTGCTTGGGGTCCAGCTCTTGGCCCCTGCCCTTTGCAGGTGCCTGCATGTGGCATCTCTCTGACTCCTTAGCTCCTCCATGTCACACTCCTTCCTTGGTCTCTCCAGCTGCCTACATCCTCTCCCTCCTGCCCCTCCTGTCTGCTCTGCCCGTTGTCTTTCTGATCCGCGGAGGACCTCCCGGAGCCCCTAAACTCCGACTCTCCTAAGTATCTTTCATCTTCTTAGCTGTCTGCTCATTGAGGCGGGTGGTCTCCTCTCAGAGTTTGGCTGGCTGCTAGAACTCGTTCCTCTCTCTTTGTGTCCCAGTGTCTCCCCCTTGTTACTTTCTCCGTCTGGAGATGACCGTGTGTGTGTGTGTGTGTGTGTGTGTGTGTGTGTGTGTGTGTGTGTGTGGTGTTCCCTGTCACTGCACGTCGGTTTCTTCACATCTCCACCACCCTGCTCTCTCTCCTCTGCCTTATTTTTCTCCAAAGCCCTTGTTATGCGGCATACTACGTATTTTACCTCTTTATCTGGCCTTTCTGTCTTCTGATTAGAATAGAAACTGCACAGAGGCAGGGATTTTTGTCTGTTCTGTTCCCTGCTGTGTTCGCTGGGCCTGGCACTGTGGTTGGAACATAGAGGGCACCGAATAATTATTTGGGGAAGAAGTGAATGAATGTTTGCATGCCTGGCTGTTCGCCCTCTAGGATGCTAGCCTTCCTATACAACTGACTCCTGCCCTGTGTCCTCAGGGTCTCCCCCACCCCCCACTTGTCTGAGCCTGTCTGTTTGTGGTACTCCCATCTGGCCTGGCACGGCCCAGTGTCGTCTCCTTGTCCACAGGCCCTGCCCCCGCTTTTCTCTAAACGCCATGGGGTCTCAGATTCTGACTCCTGCCCTCCTCCCTCCCCACAGAGGCCAGACCAGGAGCTGACCTGGAGCTGGGGCCACAGGCCTAGAAGCGCCCTGGACAGGGCCAAGGTCATGGCCCCCCCACCGCCGCCACCACTGGCCGCCAGCACCCCGCTCCTGCATGGCGAGTTTGGCTCCTTCCCGGCCCGCAGCTCCCGCTTCGCCCTCACTCTCACACCACAGGCCCTACACATACAGCGGCTGCGCCCAAAGCCCGAAGCCCGGCCCCGGGGCGGCCTGGTCCCGCTGGCCGAGGTGTCCGGCTGCTGCACCCTGCGGAGCCGCAGCCCCACAGACACGGCGGCCGCCTACTTCTGCATCTACACCTATCCGCAGGGCCGGCGGGGGGCCCGGCGCAGAGCCGCCCGCACCTTTCGGGTCGACGGGGCGGCCACCTACGAGGAGAACCGCGCTGAGGCCCAGCGCTGGGCCACTACCCTCATGTGTCTGCTCCGTGGACTGCCGCTGCCCGGGGATGGGGGTGAGGCACTACACAGCCACTCAGTCCCTAGGGCCACCTTGGTGTCTCTGTGGATTTCCCTCCGTGGGCATCTCTGTCCCTACTGTGTGTCTGTCTGTGCCGTGTCTCTCTTGGTCTGTACCGACAGAGTGATAAACAGACAGGGAGGGGCTACAGAAGGAAGAAACACCATGGGCAGAGAAAAAAATGGGGGCTGCTGCTCCCTTGGGTTTTTGTCTGTGTCCCCTCCCCCCTTCCATGGGCCCTGACCACAGATGAGTCAGAGGTTCACGGGCTGACAAGAGCAGCCGACTGAGACATGATTAGTCACCACCCAGGGACAGGCAGTCACAGAGGTCCCCTAGGGCAGCCCAGGAGTGCAGAGGCATCTAATCCAGCCTTTGGGGTTGGAGGGTAGTGGTCAGAGAAGACTTTTGGGCAGAGGTCTCCCACCCAGGCTCCTCAATTGACACAGGGAGGTAAAGGTTCAAGGGTCCCCAGCCGGTGAGCCTTCCTTGGCCTTCTGGGATCCTGCCGGCTGGCTGGGGGCCCTTGGTCACGGTCAGGGGGCCTTGCGGGGTGGCGTAACCTGACCCCGGATTCCGGGTGTTTGGGGAAGAGGAAAGTGAAAACCACAGCTCCCCTTCCTCCTCCCACACATGGGTCCAAAGGGCATTGGGATTAGACATCCAAACCCTGCCCTTGTCTGGGGGGGGAGCACGCACACCTGAGCCTCAGCAGCTTTAAGCCCCCGAGGAAAAGAAAAAATCCACCTGTGACTTCCCAGCAGGCTCCTGTGCCCCCCTCCACCGGTTCCACTGGGAGCAGTTTGCTGTTTCCCGCGTCTGCGGTGAGGGCCTGGGTCGGTGGCCTGCGTAGACGGTGGCCTGCCTGCGTAGATGCTTTCCCCTCTCTTTGCAGAAATAACCCCCGAGCTCCTGCCGAGGCCACCCCGATTGCTCCTATTGGTCAATCCCCTTGGGGGACGGGGCCTGGCCTGGCAGTGGTGTAAGAACCACGTGCTGCCCATGATCTCTGAAGCTGGGCTGTCCTTCAACCTCATCCAGACAGGTAAGGGCCGTTGCGGGGTGGGGTGGGGCGAGGGGCTACAGTCCCGGGTTTTGAGCCCTGGGGAGTGGTGGGCAGCGCGGCGCGGAACAGCGTGGCCCACCTCCCACTTCCTGCCGCTAGAACGACAGAACCACGCCCGGGAGCTGGTTCAGGGGCTGAGACTGAGTGAGTGGGACGGCATCGTCACGGCCTCCGGAGACGGGCTGCTGTTTGAGGTAGGCCAGGGGCACCCTGCCCAAGCCCTGGGACGCCGGGGTGGCCGGGACAGGGACCCAGGTGTCTGGTCTCCCGCACTCCAGGTGCTGAACGGCTTCCTGGACCGCCCTGACTGGGAAGAGGCTGTGAAGACGCCCGTGGGCGTCCTCCCCTGTGGCTCAGGCAACGCCCTGGCCGGAGCTGTGAACCAGCATGGGGGGTAGGTGGGGGCCTGACACCGTGAGGGGAGGGATGCATCCTCCCGCCGCCCGGCACTTTCTAGCCCCGCGGCTCCCTCTGCCCGCCGGTCTGCTGCCAGTCAAGTCCATCAGACTGGGATGCTCCCCATACCCGCCCCCCTCCCTGGCATTTTTGCCTGGTTGTTCCCAGCTGTGTCCCTAGTGCCCAGAAGTGTACCTAGCACACAGATGGCACTCAGGGAACACTCACGGAATGAACTGACAGGGAGCCTGGCTCAGTAAGAAGAGTCCATCTGGAGGGGACAGACTGCTGAGGGCGGGGCCCAGGCTGCCTGGCCCCCCCTCCCCCACGGCCCACTTCCCCACCTCTCTGTGTCTTTCTTCTGCCACCCGTGCTCTGTGTCTCTCACCCAAGCCCATTGACTCTTTCTCACTGTGTTCCTCCATCTCTGGCTGTGAAGGTTTGAACCTGCCCTGGGTGTCGACCTGCTGCTCAATTGCTCGCTGCTACTCTGCCGGGGCGGCAGCCGCCCGCTGGACCTGATGTCTGTGACGCTGGCCTCCGGCTCCCGCTGCTTATCCTTCCTGTCTGTGGCCTGGGGCTTCGTGTCAGACGTAGATATCCAGAGCGAGCGCTTCAGGGCCCTGGGCAGCGCCCGCTTCACGCTGGGCACAGTGCTGGGCCTCGCCACGCTGCACACCTACCGAGGACGCCTCTCCTACCTCCCTGCCACCGTGGAGGCCACCTCACCCACCCCTGCCCATGGCCTGTCCCGCGCCAAGTCTGAGCTGACCCTGGCACCAGCCCCGGCTCCGGCCCCGCCTGTGGCACATTCCCCCCTGCATCGTTCAGTGTCTGACCTGCCCCTGCCCTTGCCTGTGCCCCAGCCTGTTCTGACCTCCCCTGGCTCCCCTGAGCCTCTGCCCATCCTGTCCCTCAATGGTGGGGGCCCAGAGTTGGCTGGCGACTGGGGTGGGGCTGGGGATGCCCCCCTGTCTCCAGACCCACCACTGCCCTCACTGCCTAGCTCCCCGAAGGCAGCTTTACTCTCCCCTGTCACCGAGGGGGTCCCAGAAACGTTAGCGTCCTCTGGGTTCCCACCTCCCACCCCCGATGCTCCGGGAGCCATCTCTACCAGAGGGCCCCCTGACCACCTGCTGCCTCCTCTGGGCACCCCGCTCCCCCCAGGCTGGGTGACCCTGGAGGGGGACTTTGTGCTCATGTTGGCCATCTCGCCTAGCCACCTGGGGGCGGACCTGGTGGCGGCCCCCCACGCGCGCTTTGATGATGGCCTGGTGCACCTGTGCTGGGTGCGTGGTGGCATCTCCCGGGCCACGCTGCTGCGCCTCTTTCTGGCCATGGAGCGCGGCAGCCACTTCAGCCTGGGCTGTCCGCAGCTGGGCTATGCCGCGGCGCGTGCCTTCCGCCTCGAGCCTCTCACGCCTCGGGGCGTGCTCACTGTGGACGGAGAGCAGGTGGAGTACGGGCCGTTGCAGGCGCAGATGCACCCGGGCCTTGGCACACTGCTCACCGGGCCTCCCGCCTGCCCAGGTCGGGAGCCTTGAACCTAACGAAGCTTGCATCCCGCCAGGGGCGGGGCCAACATTCCAAGGAGGCGGGGCCTGATCTGAGGGCGTGGCCTCGCTGCTAGAGTTAGGGCGAAGGTCCCACACGCAGGGGTCCCCAGCCCCGTCTCAGGATTGCGCCCGCTCCCGGGGGACCAGAGGTGATGTTATTAGATGGAGTGTGGCCCGAATTCCAGAGACTCATCACGGTCACAAATGGGCTGGCCCCGAAGGTAGTGCCTGACCAATGTGGGCGGGGCTCAGCCCAAACCCTCGCTTCCGGCTCGTAGGACGCCAGGTCGGCTGAGGGCGGAGACTGTTAACGTCTTCTCCAATGACGGGACCTGGCACGTGCGGGCCGGGGAAGGCCTTAGTCCATCGGCCAGTCAGGGCCCGGGTCTCGCCCTATCCATTCCGGTGCCTCCACTTAACTGGCCAATCAGCCCTGGAGGGGCAGGTTCCCCGGGGCCGACGCTCGGATTTGCACTAAAGTTCCTCCTCGCCCCCTTGCTGGTGGGGGGCGGGGAAACAACTGTCCCCCGTCTTCTGTCTCCCGTGCGTCCCCGACCCCGATCTTCAGAGCAATTGAAACGGTCTATGCAATAAAGGCAGTCGCTCCATTCCTCTCAGGCCGTGGCCCCTTCTGCACCCGGCAGCCCGTGGGAGGGATCCAACCCTAGGTGCTTCCGGCAGCTGCCGCCTTTTGTGGCCCGAAGCCCAGACTTGCCCACAGACCGCGGCCAGCGTGACCCGATGGCCTTGAACTGGGACCAGGGAGCTGCCTCCTCCCCCCACAACAGCTGGCTCTGGGGTTCTCAAGATTTATTCAGGGTGTGTTAACGGAGGCGGTGGGAAGATGGGGTCCCCGAAGTGGCAGGGGCACACACAGAGGACCCTCCCCGCCCCCGCGAGGGAGGGGGGAGGCTCACTTTTTCTTAAAAATATAAATGTATTTATCTGCATCGTCACGTCCCTGGGGCACCCAGCTGGCCGGCCTGTGGGCCACAGGGCGGGGAGGGAGAAGGGCGTCGGGGCGCAAGTCTGAGCGAGGCGGGGAAGCGCTCCGCCAGGCAAGGGTGGGGGACAGCCTCACAGGGCTCCGTGCTGGGCCTGGTAGCGGGACAGCACGGCGCGGTAGTGGGACAGCTCCTGGCGCACGGCCACCACTTCCTGCCGCAGCAGGGCGTTCTCCTTCTCCAGGAAGGCCGCCCGGACCGATATCTGGTTCTCCTTGAGCCGCCGGGCGTCTCGGGACCGCTTGGCTGCCTCGTTATTCTTGTACCGCCGGCTCCAATACTTCTCGTCCTGAGGGTGGGGTTTGAGAAGGCACTGAGGGCCAGGAGGGGCAGCCTTCCTGTGCCCCCAAGGGCTGGAGGGCATCTAAGAGACCCTCTTGGCGACTTCTTGCCCAGCAGTGGAACTTAAAGGTTACCAGGTCCCTCCTTGGATGGGTACCCAAGGGTCTGGTTGCTAAGCAGAGCAAGCCCCTAGCAACAGCAGAGGGGAGGATAATTCCCCCCACACGCAAAGCATTTGGGTTTCCTGTCTCCACCGCGCAGAGACGACCCCAGCACTCCTCACTCCACAAAGGGCCAACAGTAAGCGCCTGGTTGCTAAGGATGCCTGTTCCCTAGCAACCGGGCCTTCAGGGTCAGAGGGCTTCTCCCGCCCCTTAATAAGCACTGCTTTATGCATCACCTGCCCAGATCCTGGTTGCTAAGAAAAGCCGAAGCTCCCTAGTGATGAGGCCTCCCAGAGCTGGGGGCCTTTGGTCCTGGTTGTCAAGGCAGCCTCCTCCTTACCCAGCAAACAAAGGCAATGACCGACCGCAGCCCGTCTGTGACCTACTGGCCTTTGAACAGAGGCCAGAGAGCTGCCTTCTTCCCAACAGGCCCTGATTGCCAGAAAAGCTGTCCCTTAGCAAAAGGTCCTGTCCTGAGGCCTCCCCATACCGTTACCCTTAGGGCTCTCTGGTCCTAGAATTTGGCTGTGGAGGAGGACCACTCCGTAGTGACAAGGGCCACCCAGAGCTCCAAAAGATGCCCTCCACCCCCGTGTCATTAAAGCCTCGTTCCCGCTCACTGGGGTAAATCCAGCCAGGGCCCCGTGACAGGTCTAGACTTCGTTTACAGTCCAGTCCCCGGGGCCTCAAGCATTCGTGCCTTACACATGGGTCTGGTGTAGTCTGGTGAGAAGCCCAGGCGCCTCTTAACCAGGGGAGAGCCCAGACCTGGCAAAAGGCAGAATGCTAGAAAGAAGTGGTCACTGCCCTGAATCAGAATGTAGCTCCGGCTGCTGAGGGGAACTTGAGGTCTCTCACCAGTGAGTGGTCCGGGGCCCAGATAACAAGGCTCAGAAGGGGTGCAAGCATCCTGAACGATGCTTCACATCAGAGATCAAAGGACCAGCCTGAGAGCTAATCCCAGTGAGAAGCCCAGGCCCGTCTGCGGCTCTAACGTCGGGCCTATAAAGTCCATGCCTGCTTCCTACATCTAGCGGCGCTCACCTTCTGCTCCTCTGGCACCTGGATCTTCCGAGCCTTCTTCATGATGGGCTGGGGCTTAAGTTCCTCCTCCGAGAAGCGATGTCTCCGAGGGTCAAAGGTCTCATGGCCAGGAATGCTTGACAGGGCTAAATCCGCTGGGTCGGGTTCAAATGTCATCAGCACCTCCACGGTGTCTGGGTCCACAGGGCTGGGTGTGTCCCGAGAGGTCAGGCCTTGGGGGAATAAAATGTGCCACCTGAGTGTGTATGTATTTGGTATTCGCAGACGGTGCCCTCTCTGCTCAGGTACCTCTTCCACCCTGAGGAAGGGCCTTTGAGGTCTACCATCAGTCGGCCGGAGGTCAACCTCTTCAATATACACTATGAAGGTTCCCTAACCTACTTTGCAGCTTAGAAATCAAGGAACCAACGCCACTTTCAAAAGCTGGGAAATGAGCACAATTATAACTGACTTACCCCAAATAACACGAGTCTCGTCTATTGCTTCTAAAACCTCTGGCCCTCGGATTGGCAATGTCAGCTTCTTTCCCTGAATCCTGCTTACGGAATCCCTGACCAAAGCCTAGACCCCCCGACTGTTCAGGGAAAAGAAATCCAATGCACTGAAAAGCCTTCAGGTAAGCTTCTTAAGAGCTACTGGCTTCGAAGAGTTAGGGAAGAAAAGCCGAAACGACTGAGGTTTTTGGACGTTGGTTCAAGAGGGGGCGGCCTGTGCCTTTAAGAGCGACCGAGCCGGGGCCAGCTGAGGACACAGGTTCAGGGCCAGTCACGTGCGGGCGCCTGCTTTCCCGCCCCGCCCCCCCTGCAGCCACGGGCGCCCTCTAGTTCCCCAGACCCCGCCCCCCTCCGCGTGACCGCGCGTGCGCGAAGTCAAGACGACGGAGGAGAGAGGAGGACTCACGTGGCGCGGGAATGTGCGGCTGGGAAGGGGAGGGCCCTGGTTCTGCCCCGAGGTCCGGCCAGGGGCAGGTGTGTCCGGGAATCCCCAACCTGCAGACCGCCCCTGGACCCCCAATGCCCGAGAGACAGCACACTTTTCCTTCTGCTCCTTGGGGTGTCTCAGCCTTAACCTCTCAACCTCCTAAGATCCAGGCCCTCCCCTGGGATCCCTCTTCTCCCAGAACATAGGAGGCTCGCTCCTCGCCCCAGTGGAAGATCTGGAATGAAGATCCCCGACCTTCAGCCGTCTAGGGGACTCCAGGATCCGGGGTCCTGGCCCCTCTCCACTGGAGCACTCAGAACCAGGGCAGCCAGTCCCTCACATCCTGGTGAAACAGAAGTCTGTGCCCAGACCCTACTTTCTCCCTTGTAGAGGACCTACGAGTTAGTCCTTCCACAGATTCCGGGCCCAGATCCTGGAGAGCCGTTCACTCCCCAGTAAATAATTCCGGTGTTCTGGGATCCCAGTCCCGGCTCCTCGAGTATCCGGCCTCTCGGTCCCCACGTCCCACAGAAAAACCCACACGACCACCCCACTGGATAGACTTCCTGGAATTTGGGGTCCCAAGTCTCTCATCCCCAATCTCTCATTCCTCAACCCAGGAAACCCGGATGCATTAGGGTCACGGAATCTGGACTCCTCTGCAAACATCACTCGTCTAGAGATCCCAGAACTTGGGCGCACAACCCGAGCCCCGCAACCCCGTTCCCGAGTCGCACAGCCCCGCCCCTGAAGTCCAAGCCCCGCCCAGCCAGGGCCCGGTCCCGCCCCCGCCGTCGCACCTGCGCGGTGGCCGCCCGCGGCCCCAAGGGCAGCCCGGGTGGGGGCGTGCCCCGGCGAGGAACGAGGGGAAGCTGAGCCGCAGGAGCCGGGCCCCGGGGAGGGTGCGGGCGTGCGCACGGGCGAGGGCGCCGGTGATGGGCCGCCGGGGGGCGGCGGACTGGGCGGGAGCCCGTGCTCCAGCAAGAAGGCGTCCAGGTCCACATACTCCACGTCGCCGAACGGCAGCGTCCGCTCCCACAGCAGCGGCGCCAACAGACCCGGGCCAGGCGCGGCCCCCGGGCGCCCCCGCGGGGACCCGCCGCCCACCACCGCCCCAGCTGGGGCATCCGCCGGGCCCGCCGTCTCCAGGCCCGGCCCGGGGACCGTGGCTGCCGGCGGAGCCGCCTTGCGCTCCTTTTCCTTCAGGAGACCTGCGGGCCGGGGAAAGACCGGGTGGGGTGGGAAGGAAGAGATGGAGAGACCCCGACACCGAAAGACAGGAAGAAAGAGGGGGGGTGGGTTGAGATCCACACGACGGAGATCCAGAGAAAGAGAGGGGAGACGGGGGAGAGGGAGAGATCAGAGAGGAAAGGCAAGGACCCAGAGGGAGGAAGCAACAGAGACTCAAGAGAGCGAAAGAGACCCAGAGAGAGAAGGCACAGACGGGGGGGGGGGGGGCGGCAGAGACAGAGAGGGGGACAGAGATCGAGAGACGGAGAGAGACTCAGAAAGCGGGGGGAGGATGGAGACCCAGAGAGGAGTAAGATAGAGACCAGGGAAGGTAGAGACACAGAAGGAGGACCGAAGTTCAAGAAGAGGCAGGTGGAGGGGTTGGGCAGGTGAGAGGAAAAAATGACGGCTCTGTAATTTCTCCGGAACCTACCCCCCTGCTCACTGTGGCCTCTCCTCCCCACCCCCCACACTGTTAGGGGCAGGAAGGGGCTCTATTCCTGGGGCACATTCCTCATCCCCAGACTCCATGTGACCCCAGGAGGCCCCGCCCAAGCCCGTGTCACTACCGTGTGAGCATCCGACACACCCCCTCCCTCTTCCCTGGACCCCAGGGGTCCGGACTCTCATAACCCAGAGGAAGCGGGGGCTGGGGCCTAGACTCTTGGGTCCTCCGGGAAGAGGACTCTGGGGGACTCCTGGGTCCTCCTGGTGGATGGGCTTGAAGCCGGTACTTTTGGATCCTAGGTGCTGACGATCTAGGGGCCTAAACACCCCAGGAACTGAGTAGATGCAGGCTGAGAATGGACTCTCCGCACGTAGGAGGTAGCCCCCCCGCCCCCGCCCAGCACCTGAATCCCCGAGGGAGTTGGGTGTCCGAGTCGGGATAGGTGGGGGCTGGAACTCACAGCTGGCTGGCTCTTTGGGCTTGCCGGTCCCCTGCAGAAGGCTCCGCAGCCCAAGCAGCGCTCCCCCGCCAGGGGGGGCCCCGGCCGGGCCGCCCAGCAGCAGTGGGGCCGGGGTCCTGTCGCTCACGGGCCGCGCCATCCCCGGGCACCTGCCCGTAGGCTCACGGGCTCATGGAGAGGCGACGAGCTGGCCTGCCGGTCAGCGGCACACTGCTGTGGTTCGGGCGAGTGCCTGCCCAGGGGCGGGCGAGAGGAGCCTGCAAGCCTCCAGGATCCAGAACACTGCAAATCCTAGGAGTGACGGGGCTTCGCAGTCCTCCGTGCAGAAACGTGCAACTCAAGAGGGTCCCAGGAGACCATGCAGTCCGGGTGAGGGGGTGATCAAATCAGGCAGCCGGCTCTTTGCACCCCAGAGTTCAAGGGGACACAAGGCGCTCCTTCTGCAAGGTGGGCGAGCTCGGCTCTTGCAGAATCTGCAGCTCTCTCAGCGGAAGGCGCTTTGCAATCTGCACCAAGAGGTGTGCGCGGAGGGGCGGGGGAGGGGGCAAGAGGAGGCGGCAGCCTTGAGGCGTGGCCAACGCAAACTTCTTTCGCGGAAAAAAAAAAAAAAAGGCAAACCAAAACACCCGACGCCACAGCGCGCACCCCTCCTCTCGGCCCCCGCCTGCCTCTCGGGCCAAGCACCCCAGCCGCGTGCCTCCCTCCGGCTGAATGCACCGGCCAATCGCGTCTTGACCCCTCGAGACGCGCGGCCAATGGGACCCCAGGATCCGCCAAGGCCCGGGAGGGCGCGTGAGGGGCTAAGTGCGTGAAGTTGCCGTGCCTTTAGGTGGGAGGCGGGACCCTGACCTACATTTGCCCAATGGGAGACGGCACTGGGGGCGGGACCGTGACCCAGTTCGGGCCAATGAGGCAGGCGGGAGGGGGAAGCACATGGCTCTGCGCGTGCTGCCCGACTGGGAGGGTGCGTTGGGGGAAATGAAAGAGGCGCCACTTAAAGGAGCCGCTAATCTAAATGACGGTTTGGGGAAACAGGAAGCCAAAAAACCAAGTAGTGCGGTTTAGGAAGAGGGAGATTGGTTTCTAGAAGAAGGCTGCTGTTCTTCAATACCCAAATGTTTCCCCGCCGCGCCTAGAATCAGACCACTAAGAAACGGGAAGTATTCTGTCCCTTTAATAGCTTTGTTTTGGGGGCGACTCCCCTCCCCGTGTGGGGAGACTTGGAAAGGGCAGGCGCAATCCTCGATGGGGAGTCTCAGCGACCGTGGGGGGCACCATCCACTGTAAGACAGACGACACCGGTGGGGGAGCGTTACTGTAGGGCACCATAGGCTGGACCCTGCGGAGGGTTTGCGGGGGGGGGGGGGGGGGGGGGGGGGGGGGGGGGGGGGGGGGGGGGGGGGGGGGGGGGGGGGGGGGGGGGGGGGGGGGGGGGGGGCTGGGCCGCGTAGGGCTCTACCACAGGGAGGCTGCGAAGGGGGCACCCGGAATGTACCAGGTCGACAAGCCGGGGAAAACGGCCAGATCCTGGACCGGCACTGGGTTTAACCAGCAGGAGACAAGAATAGGGACGTCCAGTTTCAGCATTAGCCTCAACTATGTGAAGGTATTCGGGGGGGGGGGGGGGGGGGGACGGACGGTCTGGGCAAACCATGTTGAGAAGCCGGAGAGGTGGCCTTGAGATCACAGGGCTGAACCGCAGGGAGGCGGCCGAAAGGGAAGGGGATTGTACCATGTTGATTTCCAGGAAGGGGGTGTGTGTCAGAGTACGGAACAGCGTTAAGATTGTGCCACAGGGAAACGGGGAAGGGATCCGGGCTGTACCATTTTGGAAAGCCATAGTAAGGGGAACCACGGCCCAGGAGTGAATCGTACCACAGGGGAAGCCAGGTGGCTCGGGTTCGGGTTATATGCGAGTTGCAGGTTAGGAGCAGTGAAGAGGGAAAGACAAATCATAGACCGGCAGCGGTCTATGGCGTGGAGGTGGGTTGTACCATGTTGACACTCGCGTACAAGGGAGAAAGCGAGTGCGAGCTCAGGAGGCTGGATCAAACAGAAGCGGCAAAGGGGTGGGCAAGACTGTATCATACTGAGAAAACAAGGGGAGACACATAGGCGGGCTAGACCAAGACGTGCGGGGGGGGGGTGCAGACTGGACCATACCATGCAGGCGGTAGTTGGGGCCTCGGCAGCGCCTCTCGGGGTGCCGGGGGTCCCTGTTGCCCCTCAGGGCCCTGTGGGCCAAGGGCTGCAGGGGCCGGCCGTTACCGCTGAGGCTCTGGAAGATCTGGGACGGAGGGTTCTGGCTCAGGAGTCTCAGGGAGTGCATCTGCCGTGGGAGGGGGTGGGAAACTGAGAGTGAATAATGAACGGTCGGGGTGAAAGGTCACAGGGGAAGCTCCGCCCCCCGAGCGGGTGGGCGGGGTCTTACTCAGCCCCAGCCCACCCCCAAAGGTTGTCTGACCCTCCCAACAGCGAGACGAGGAAGAAAGGAGGAGAGTAGGTGAGCCAAGCGAGGATGCCCAGGCCAGGGAATGGGTCAGCCAGGATAAGGGGCTGGAGGGTCACCTGGAGGGAGGTAATATTGAGGGCCCGATCAATGAGGATCCAGGTGACAGTCTCTGAGCAGGGCGGGGTACTGAGAGAGCCCTGATAGGTGATGAAGCCAAAGGATTCGGGGAACAGGAGCTCCAGGCTCAGGTCTTGAAGAAAGTAGGCATCATCTGCGGGAATACCGGGGGCAGGGAAGAGCAGCGTCCCTCTTGAACCCCCCTCCTGTGCACACACTGCTCCCCCAGCCCCCCTCCCCCAATGCACCAGGGACTTACTCTTGTAGGAGATGCGGGTGATGGTATCACGGTTAAGGAGGCGGCTGAGGAAGGGGTTTGAGCTGCCAGCCACCTGTGTGGGGTACGAGGTGAGGAGGTAGGAATCCAGACGCCCCAGCCCCCAATCCTTTCCTTCCCCAGGACCCAGGAGTCTGGGCCTCCCAGACTCCCTCTTGTTCAGTCTCCATTCCTGGCAGCCAGCCCCGCCCTCCCTCAGACTCTTGCCTGGGCTCACATTGACAAAGAGGCTGAGAATGGCCAGGCCATTGGGGCCCCTGGAGGCGGCGCTGAGGTTCCCATAGAGTTCTTGGTTAAAGTGGATGAGCTGCACCTGGGAGGGAAGCACAGAGCAGGGGGGTCCCCCAGCAGAAGGGGAAGAGAGAATGGGTCCAGCTCTGGGCCCTTGGGGTCCTCAAGTCAGGTTAAAGATTAGTGCTTGGGGCCCTTCTATGAAAGAGAATGGGGTGAGGCAGCAAAAGAAAGGCAATGTGGGAACAATTGGGTCAACTCGGGGTGAAGGTCAAGGGTCAGAGGTCAGTGGCCACCACCTCAGCAGAGAATCCCTGGTGGTTGATCTGGTGTTCAGAGCCGGCTCCGTCGCGCGCTCCAAACAGCAGTCGCAGTTCACTGAGTCGGTGGCTATAGAGGAGGGGCCCCCCAGACACGTTGACCACAGGCCGGGGTGCAGGCAGGAAGGAGACATGGCGGCCGGTGTTGTACAGGGTTCCCCGGAGCTGCGGGAGAGGTGGAATGAGGTGGAAGCCATCACAGGGACAGAGAGCGATCTTTTTTTTTTTTTTAATTTTTTTTAATGCTTTATTTATTTCTGAGAGAGAGACAGCATGAGCAGGGGAGGGTCAGAGAGAGAGGGAGACACAGCGATCTTTTCCCTCCCGTTTTCCACTCCTACAGTCCCTGCTTCAGACAATCACTGAATCATTCAGCATACTTTGAATCATTGCAGCCTCTGTTCTGGTCAATGTCAGGTGCTCAGTGAACTTATTTAACTAACAAATATTTATTGAGCTGCTACCATGTGCCATGGATTGCCAGGAGGAGAACAAAAGCAGACAGAAACACTGGGCCCGCATGGAACTTGCGTTCTAAGGGAGCAGACACAAACAATAAATAATGAATCACATAAGTAACTGCTTAGTTAATTACATCTTCTGCAGTAAAGAACTGACAGCTCTCAGAAGGTGTAATGGGAAACCCAGCCCAGATCAGGGCGGGGGGTGGGGGTGATGAGTAAAGGCCTTTAGAAGAAAGTGACATTTGAATGGAGACCTGCAGGATAAGCGGGAATTCGTTGCAAAGAGCAGGGAGAAGGGCATTACAGTTAGAGGAAACAGCAAGTGCAAAGGCCCTGAGGTAGCCTGTTTCCGTGACAGTGAAGAGGCCAGTGGGACCAGACCTTGGTGAGCAAAGGAGAGGAGATAGGAGCCAGATGGTGCAAGACCTCGTGGACAATGATGGGATGTTTTGTATTTTTATTTAAAAAACTGAATATATCTATCACATTCTTGGCACAGTGCCAGGCACATGGTACTTGCTGTATACGTGTTTGCCATTATTTATCCTGATAGATTTTGAGCAGGAGAGTGGTACGGTCTGCTATGTGTTTTTAAACATCTCTGTAGCTGTGGGGTGCAGAATGGACTGCAGTAGTCAGAGAACCAGGCCAGCAAGGATGCAATGGCTCCAGGCTGGTGCAAGATGATGGTGGGGGCAGCAGAGGGTGCAAGAAGTAAAACGACCTGAATGCTATTTAGCAGGGACACTAAAAAGGATCCAGACTGGACACGGGAATGAGGGCGAGAAAGGGTCGGGGAACAGCGCCCTGGCTTTTGGCAGGTGCAGCTAAGGGATGAGCGATGCCAGCTCTTATGAGAAATGCCATTGCAGGGGTGCCTGGGTGGCTCAGTTGGGCATCCAACTTCAGCTCAGGTCACGATCTGGTTGTGGGTTCGAACCCATCATGGGGCTGTCAGCGCAGAGCCTGCTTCCGGCTTTCTGTCTCTCCCTCTGCCTCTCCCTCGCTCATGCTTGCTCGCTCGCTTGCTCGCTCTCAAAAATGAATAAATATTTAGAATAAAAGAAAAGAAATGGCATTGCAAAGTGCACAAGAACATGGAGGCCAGGACCACACTGCCTGGGTTCGAATCCCAGTGATGACACTCTAGCTGTGTGACCTCAGGCAAGTAACCCAATGTCTCTGTGCCTCAGTGTCTACATCCATAAGCTAGGGATAATAATAGCCCCTATTTCACGGTGTGGTTGTGAGGATTAGAAGGCTTATCAACCTTTTAAAACATGCCTAGGACCCAGAGCGATTTGTTTTACAACTGCTTTTACGGACGAGGGAGTTGGGGGGGGACTACGGAGCCATGTTTGGGGAGGAACAGGCGATCCATTTTAGAGCGTAAGGAGCCTCCTTTCCACCCAGTGCGTGCCCCCTCCCTACCCCAGGCTAGATTTTCACCTCAGGGACCCACCCCCACCCGTGCCCACCCCCTGGGGGTTGGGTAACCCCTCCCACCAGGCCCCTTACCTTCTCTCCCCCAGTGCTGAGTCTCAGTGGGGGCAGAAAGGGGTCATAAAGGACCCTCCTCAGCTCCACGTCCACGGGGCTCTGCCGCTTCCCCACAGCGCACAGACTCCAGGCCGCATTCACCAGGCCCCAGAAGGGAGGCCCTGGAGGCAGGGATGGGGCAGGGAGGAAAGGGAGTCAGAAATAGGGACTGCATCCCAATGCTGGGGGTCTGCCCAGAAGGCTGTGGTTGGTCTGGACTCCCGGACCCCAGGAGAGGGAAGGCAGGAGACAGCGACCCCCGGGTCTGAAGGAGGACGGGGCTGGGATCCAGGATCCTAGGTCCTAGAAGCCTCTTGGAGGAGTTTCCTAAGGCCGTCTAGCACCCTCCTCGATCGTTGGGGGAAGGAACTACAACTCCCAGCAGGCCTGAGGGCAGCCCGCCTACGCACCCACTGCCGGCCCGCCCAGGCGCCCATGGGAGGCGTAGTTCTCTCAGTCTCCCTTGTCCCACAGCTGGATAATGAATGTACTGGGGAGAGGAGTTGCAAGCCAGGGCTGGACAAGACGGGGACCCGGCCGGCGAACCTGTGGTTCCCAGAGCAGCCGGGACCTACCTGCCTCTTTCCCTGCAAAGGGACACACGCTCTCTTCCACCCCCACACTCTTTCCTTCCACTCACTCCCACTCACTACTTGAAATGCGCATATATAATGTCCCCTGGTGAGCTGCCGGGGTTCAGAGGCTGGGCCCGACTCCTGAGGGGAGGAGGAAGGGGCTGCGACCCCCGGGTCCTGTGAGGAGGAGAGGGCCCCTGGGTCTGAGGGAGGAGGCACCCGGCAGCCCCGACTCCCGGGTCCCCGCCCTGGCTGCACCTGGCACGAAGTTTCCCTGGAGATTATCCTTGTAGCTCCACCAGTCTTCCGGATCAGGTGCGGGTCCGATGTGAGCTGGGCAGAGAGCAGCCTGAGCCCCTCTCCTCGCCACCCCACCCCCACCTCTCAGGGGCTCCTGCCCCAACCCCCCCGCTCCCCCCCCCCGCCTTACCTGCTGCCCCCAGTACGGCCCAGAGTACCAGCGCTCGAGGGGCGCTCAGCCCAGCTGTAACCCCCATCCCTGCGAGGCCCCTGAGCGACCCCTTCCCAACGTCCTGGCCCCTCTCTCAGCTCCTCGGGCCCCTCTTTGTGGGACCCAGTCCCTCCAGGACTGCCAGCCTGCCTCCCCTCCCCACAGGGAGACCCGTCCCCCAAACAGCCAGGCGGCGGTGGGGAGGACTGAGACTCCCCCCAAATCCACTCCTGTCTCCGCTCCCCGGCCTGTCTTCCTCTCCCGCTGCTCTCCTCTTTCCCCAGCCCTCCAACCTCGATCTACCTCCTGATCTTCCTACTCCTCTCTCTGCCTCCTGCTTCTCCCCGGGGTTACCTCCTGGCTTCTAACCCACACCCCCTCTTCGCTCTGTCTTCCTCCAGCCGCCCCCCTCCCCAGCCACCTAACCCCATGTCTCCATCCTGCTTCTCTTTCCTCCTCCCGGGCTCTCTCTGTCTCCAGCTTCTTTCTCTCCCTGCCTCCCCACCTCCTCCTCTCCTGCCTCTCCTGTTTCTTCTCCGTCTCCCCCCCCCCGTCCCCGCTCCCTCCTCCCCCTCCCTCTCTTCTCTCCTCTCTGGGTGTTATTTAATTTTTTTGTCGTTGTTGTTGGGGGGGGCGGGTGATCTCACAGCAGCGAACGCTTCTCGGCCTGGTGCAGGGGGGGTGCCCAAGGGGCAGGATGGAGGGGTCGCTGGGGGCTGATCCCCAGCATCCAGCCGTGCCGGGGCCATGGGGGCGGGGGGTGGCCCGGACACCTGGGGCCCGGAGCTGGCAGTTCCCATCCTCCGCAGAAGGGGGAAGGGGGGGCGCTTAAGGTGGCGCTGACAGCGTCCTCCGAAGTCTCGGTGCTACCGCCCCGCTGGCGCCGGAGGATCCGAGGTCCCCCCGGCTCGTGGGGACCCGGGTTGGAGCCCCCACCGCGACGCCTGCAGCCCACTCCCCCACCCTCCGCTCGGCCTCGGCTGGGGTCTGCCTTAACGGGGCCGAGGGATCCCCTGGGAGACCGGGGTGCGGTGCGGGCAGCTGACCAGGAGGGGGAGGCAGAGACCTGCAGAGGGACCGAGAGCCGGGGCGGGGGGGGCGGGGAGGAGCCGGGAAGGCGGAGGCGAGGGAGCGGGAGGGGAGGTCGGACAACTGCAGAGGTTTGGGAAGGGAAAGGGAGACTGAGATGGAGCCCGGGCCACGGGGCGGAGGGAGACAGCCGGCTGGAGATGGGGAGCCCAGGGGGGAGGGAGACAGAGACGCACACTGAGAGAGAGATACAGGTAGAAAGACGCGGAAAGTGCTAGATTCTGATGGAGGCAGAGAAAGACTTACAGAGACACACACTTAGCTATAGCAGCAGAGAGAGCCACCCACCCAGCAGGTCCGAGATGGGAGAACAAGATGCCAGGCAAGAGGGGAGGGGGAGGCACAGAAACGGAAAAGAGATCCAAAGACAGAGTGACACAGCCAACGCCAAAGAGACAGAGAAACACAGAGAAAGAGGCAGACACGCACGCGCGCCCCTCTGAATAGAAACACTCGGCAGAGAAAGAGAGAGCATCGAAGACAAGCAGATGACAGGGATCCAGAGACCCAGAGGGAGGGAGAGAGACCCAGAAACAGGCCAAAACGTCAAGGGAGAGAGCCGAGTCAGAAAGACAGGCCTTCGGAGAAAGAATTGGGAACAGACATTCAAAGGACCTAGAGATGGAGGTGACAGAGGCACCCAAAGGGAGTCAGAAATGGAGAGAGACAGAGAAAATGCGAGAAAGAAAGGTATGTATTACTTATCCATTGCCACATACCACATCACCCCAAAACTCAGCGGCTTCAAGCAACAAACGACTATTGTCTCACCATTTCAGAGGGGTTAGAGTTTGGGAGTGGCTTAGCTGGGTGGTTGGGCTCAGGGCCTGTCATAAGGGTCCAGTTAGGCTACCGGCCGGGGTGCTGTCATCTGAAGGGTCGACTAGGGCTAGAGGGTCACTTTCAAGCTCACCTATGCGGCCCCCAGGAGGCGTCATCAGTGGGCCTCACAATGTGACTGCTGACTTCCCCAGAGTGAGTGATTGCAGGAGAGAGAGAGAGAGAGGAGTCTTATATGACCTCATCTCCAAAATCACACACCATCACTTCTGTTTTATTCTGTCCCTCAAAAGTGAGTTGCTAAGTCTAGCCCACATTCAAAGGGAAAGAGATTAAGCTCCTTCTCTTGAAGAGAAGAGCATCAGAGAATTGATGGGCCACCATCACAGGTAGGAGAGAAGAAGGGGGAGACAAGATGGACCCTGAAAGACCCATGAGGCTTTGAGGTCAGTGAGATACATATTCAGAAACTCAGTAACATGGGGAGAGAGATGCTTGAAGGTGGAGGGGACTATGAAGACAGGGGAAAGAGGCAAGATCAAGGAAACAACATCAATAATAATAAGTTACAGTAATAACATCCAGTACATAAAGCTCCTACTACATACCAGGCAGAGTTCTGAGACTTTCTGTGGACTCACTCGTATAATCCTCACAGCCGCCCAGTGAGGTAGAGACTGTTATTCCATTCTACAGATGAGGCAACCAAGGGTCAGAAGCTGTAGGTGACTTGCCCAGAGTTCCTACACTTAAGAAGTAGCTGAACAGGGAAGGAAAACAAAGACAAAAGGGATGGAGGGGCGCCTGGGTGGCTCCACTGTTTAAACATCCGACTCTAGATTTCAGCTCAGGTCACAATCTTGTGGTTGGTGGGTTCGAGTCCTGCATCAGGCTCTGGGTGTCCGTGCAGAGCCTGCTTGGAATTCCCTTTCTCTCCTTCTCTCTGCCCCTCCCCTGCTCTCTCACTCTCTCTCTCAAAATGAATAAATAAACTTAAAAAAAAAAAAAGAGGGATGGAGGAAACATGATGGAGGGATGCAGAAAGTGGAAAGTGTCAGCTTCGAAGAGTGGAAGAGGGGCCCAGCTCTGATGGAGAAATAAAAAAAAAGACAGCCAACCTGACTGGACTTTCCTAGACACCAGGCCATGCCATGCATCCTGTAGGCTTTATTTCAACCCTCAAAGCTGCCCGACGAGGTGGGGTTAAAATTAGCCCTATTATAGAGCTCTTCCTGCCCGTGGGGCCTGTCCCCATGCTTTAATAAAGAAAGAAATTAGCCCCATTTTACAGGTGGAAACACTGAGGCTGGTCAGAGACAGAAGCGACTCATTCAAGACATAGTAGGTTGGATGGTGCCCCACCCACACACACACACCAAAAAAAAAAAACAAATAAATTTTAAAAAGTGCCCCAAACCCGTGAATGGGACCTAACTTGGCAAAAAGGTCTTTGCAGGTATGACTAAGTTAATGACCTTGAGATCAGATCCTCCTGCATTAAAAGGCTGGACCCTAAATCCAATGACAAGTGTCCTTATGAGAGAAAGGCAGAGGGAGGTTGGAGACGACAAAGTGAAGACAGAGGCACGGAGTGGAGGGCTGTGGTCACAAGCCACGGAACGCCAGGAGCCACCGGAAACTGCAAGGATGGGTCCTGTCCGGGAGCCTTCAGAGGGACTGAGGCCCTGCTGACACCATGATTTGGGCCCCGGGGCCTCCGGAGGTATGAGAGAAGACGTTTCTGGGTTGTTGTTTTTTTATTTTTATTTTTTTTAATGTTTTATTTATTTCTAGGAGAGAGAGAGAGAGACAGCATGAGCAGGGGAGGATCAGAGAGAGAAGGAGTCACAGACTGAAACACGCTCCAGGCTCTGAGCTGGCAGTCAGCACAGAGCCCGACACGGGGCTCGAACCCACGAACCGCGAGATCATGACCTAAGCGAAAGTCGGACGCTTAACTGACTAAGCCACCCAGGCGCCCCTGTTGTTTTTTTTAATGTTTTTTATTTATTTCCGACAAAGAGAGACAGCCTGAGCAGGGGAGGGACAGAGAGAGAGGCAGACACAGAATCTGAAGCAGCTCCAGGCTCTGAGCTAGCTGTCAGCACAAAGCCCAGTGCGGGGCTCGAACCCACGAACTGTGAGATCAAGACCTGAGCCGAAGTTGGCCGCTTAACCGACTGAGCCACCCAGGTGCCCCCATTTCTGTTGTTTTTAAGCCACGCAGTTTGTGCTCATTGCTTACGGCAGCCGACCCCAGGGGTGGGGAGAAATAATGAGAAAGAGTTGGAACTTTTCAGAGAGAGGTGATGATGGAGCCTGAGATACATGGAGGGACAGCCAGACAAGACTGACACTTCAGGAAGAGTAGGCTCTACCTACGCATTGGCTCTCCTCCTCCAGGAAGCCCTCCCTGAAGCCCCAGGCTGGGTTAGTGCCTACTGAGCACATTCCTAATGCCCTGTGCTACCTCTGTTAGAGCACAGATCCCATTAGAGGAGGGACTGTCTCCTGTGTGTCCTCATCAAGGGCCCAGGCCTGACCCATCACTGGGTCCTCAGCCTCGCCCCACACAGGGCACACGGGGCTGCTCCTCAGAGAAATTCAGCATGATTTTTTTAAAATTTTTTTTAAATGTTTTATTTATTTCTAGGAGAGAGAGAGAGACAGCGTGAGCAGGGAAGGGTCAGAGAGAGAGGGAATCACAGACTCTGAAACAGGCTCCAGGCTCTGACCTGGCAGTCAGCACAGAGCCTGACGCGGGGCTCGAACCCACGAACCACGTGATCATGACCTAAGCGAAAGTCAGACGCTTAACCGACTAAGCCACCCAGGCGCCCCAGAAATTCAGCATGATTGAATGAGGCCACACTCCCCATGTCTCTCCCTAGAGACTCTGGCTCCCTCCTATCTGCTTTGGAGACACTTCGGGACCCTGCGAGGCCCAGCAAGGGCCTCACCTCCTCCAGGAAGTCTCCTTTGATCTAACAGGTGGAGCCCCAAGCTGTCTCCATTGTTACACATCGCACCGGACGTAACTGTATGTAGGTCTCTCCCTACATATGTGTCTCCCGACTGTATGTAGTCACCTCCCCCCTGCTGCAGGGCAAGTCCTGGGTCTGGCTCGGGTCTCCACCCCAGTATTTCCCAGGGAGACCTCAGGAGAGTGTGCTGAAGGAAGGAATAAATGAAGGAATGAAGCCAAAATAGAGATGGTGGCATTGAGAAGTGGTGGAGAAGACAGTTTTTGGGGGGAGGGACTAAGAGGAAGGCTTCCGGACACGCCTGGGGGGCTCAGTTGGGTAAGCGGCCGACTTCGGCTCAGATCATGATCTCATGGTTTCTGGGTTCGAGCCCCGCGTTGGGCTCTGTGCTGACAGCTCAGAGCCCGGAGCCCGTTTCGGATTCTGTGTCTCCCTCTCTCTCTGCCCCTCCCCCACTCGAGCTCTATCTCTCCCTGTCTCTCAAACAATAAATAAATTTAAAAAAGAGGAAGGCTTCCAGGTGTAGGTGACATTTTC